GAGAGAGAGAGAGAGAGAGAGAGAGAGAGAGAGAGAGAGAGAGAGAGAGAGAGGAGCGATAGAAGGTTGTTGTGCGGTCCAAGGAAGAAGACGGCAGCCATAGCCGCGGAGCTTGGGCACAGGGTTATCAAGGAGAAAAGAGACGAGGGAGAAAGAAGCCATAGCCGAGGAAGGAGAAGGGAGAGACGAGGAAAAAAAAAAAAAAAAAAAAAGGCATAGCCGGGGTGAAGGAAGAAGAAACTGAGAAAGAAGGAAGGAGGGAGAAGGAGAATAACGAAGATTGGTGAGGAAGAAAGGGGTCGGAAGCCATAGTCGATATCAGCGTTGACCAAGAAGTTGACCGGAGAGTTGACCGAGGCTGACCAGAGCATTGGCCGCGGGGTTGACCAGGGTTGACCGAGGCGTTGACCGGGGTTGACCGAGGTGTTAACTGAGGGGTTGACCGGCGTTGACCAAGGCGTTGACCGGAGCTGTTGACCACGAAACTGACCAAGCTGGAGTTGGTATATTCAGCCTATCCCCTCGCCCTATGGATGTGCACTCACCCCATGGTACTTGCCGAGTATGTTTGTCTCTTCTTTCTGCATCGAGTCTCTTCTGTCCAGGTGATAGGAACTCTGTGTATGAGGTCGTAGAGCTTTGTTGACCAAACCCACACGGGCTGAGTAGGGCTAAAGGCCGTGTCTGACGACTGATTGACCCGGAGGACAAACCCTCCCAAGGACCGGTACTAACCGGCGGGCTGCTCAGTGTGGCATGGTAGGCCCAAAATACAAGTTGTGGGCTGCACAACAAGCTGTCTAAGTCTTGAGAGGACTTGATGATCGCGTCGTCCTGTCAACGACGTTAAATAATTCCTGAGGAGTTACGAAGGATCTCCTTAAATGCCTCCTGATCAGCATTGAGTCCTGTAGTGACAGCCATAGTATTAGGTCCAGGCTAGTGACCGTAGTTGACAGGGTCCTATCTGGATCCTGTGGTCCTTAGACATTCAGTCAATCAGTCTAGTGGGTAGGTCTAGGTGGTGAGTGGGATAGTTCCTGTCGTGCACCTGACACCATGGACGAGTACCCTATGTACGGCTTAATCGTGGGGTTCTCCCTGTGGGGGACCCTCTGGCGTCTTCTCTTTCCTCTGGGATTCTGGAACACGATGACGTATAGAGTAGAGATGAGGGGTGGCGCTAGTACCACTCCCTACACCCCGGAGCAAGAGGAGGAGGAGGAGGCTGCGAGAATCTTGGCTGAGCACAAGGCCAGAAAGGAGAAGAAGGAGGTGGTGAAGCAGGCCAAGAAGTTGGCCTTGTTGCAGGAGCAAGCCGCAAAGAAAAAGAAGTTGGAAGAAGAGCTGGAAAGGCTGAAGGAGGAGGAAGAGAAGTTGAAAGCAGAGGAAAAAGAAGAAGAAGAAGAGAAAAAGGTGGAAGAAGAAGTGGCCCTCATTAGAAGAAGTATCAAGGAAAGAGGAGAGACCAGTGGCACGAAGAAGGAGGGGAAATTGTAGTTGGAAAAGAAAGTGTTTGAATGGGTTGCCAATCTGTCCCTGGGAGAAGAGGAGGCGGCGATGTTATATGTCCCCAGGGAAAAACAGGAGGCGGTCATAAGGGAATTGGAAGCAGAGGAAGATCCTCTCAAACGGCAGACGATAGAGGAGGAGAAAAAGTTGGAATGGAAGTTGCGTCTGACCAAGGAGAGGAAGAAGAGGATGGAGGCGGCGAGTAAGGTGGCGAAAGAACTGGAGGAGGTGAAACAGCAAAGGGTACAGATAGAGGCACAGGCGGATTTACAAGGAAAGATGGAGGTGATGGCGAGGAACATAGAACGCCTGGTGCAAGCTCTGGAGCAGCAATACCAATTTGGGAGGAGTCAGGATATAGCCCTGCGATCAATACGATTGGGGTTTAGAGAGTTTGCACGCGAAATGATACTGCACGTGGGATCAGAAGTACAGGCGAGACTAGAGGGTACAAAGCGATTCTGCACAGGCGCCATAGAAGGCGCAAAGTTGGCTGCACCAAGAGAGGAAGAAGTTCGTCCCCGTAGGGAGCCTGTTAAGGTGAAGTTCCCTGATTCCTACTGTGGGAAGGAGGAGGAGAACTTCGATAACTGGGAGGCAAATGTAAACTCCTATGTGCATCTTCAAACGATATCTCCTGACGAACATGTGCTCATAGCCTTCCATGCGCTCAAAGACGAAACAGCGAGCTTCGCTATATCGCTTTGTCGCGCTGCTAAGTGCGATAACGATATGGTTGCCTATTCTACAATCACCCCTCTCAGTGAGTTTTTCAAATTATTGCGCGAAAGGTTTGCAGATGTCACACGAAGCCTTAGGGCTTCTGACAAACTGCAAACCATTCATTTCCGCCAGTGGAGGAGTGCCATGGCACTCAAGGGTGTCATGGATGAGTTGGATGTCGTTCCTGAGCATGGGGTCACTGAGACCCAATTAGTCAACCTATTCTATCGTGCCATACCCAAACCTTTACGAGGGCACTTCTTTGAGAAGAGTAGGGAGTCTACCATGACTTACGATACCTTGAGTAGGGAAGTGGTGGCGTATGAGGCGTAGTCCATGTCAGTTTCCACTTTCTGACACAAGGACTTATATAAGGGCATGAAGTGGAGAGGCCGTACCATCTCAGGTCAAGTTAAGGGCAAGGATTACGTTAGATGAGGGTGGTATGGAGGAGGTCCCATATGATCAGATAGAGTGGGGTCTCGAAGAGGATGATGGTAGTGTGGGTCAGGGGAGGGCTTACGCTACTGTCGCGGTTGGAGGGAGGCCGCAAGGAAGAGGAAGAGGCGAGGGCCAAGGGGGCTGGGCCTCTGGTGGTCGTGGAAGGGCGATCAGGGGGTTGGCGATAGAGGAGATCGCCAAGCGGGGGGTAGGGGTCAAGGTCCCCCGCAAAACCGCTCTCGTTATACACGGTCACCTCCAAGGAGGGGTGGATGGCACCCTGGTTTGCCGCAGGGCAGGCCTTGGGAAGATTTGGGCTTATAACAGACGGTGTGGCAGCGTCGCATAGACCAGGATCAATGCATTTACTGCGGTGATCCTGGACATAATATAAAATACTGCCCCAAGTATAGAGAAGCCCGATTTGTTGCACAGGCAGCAAAAGGCAACCGCCGGTAGGGGTTGCAACTGCCCCTATCCCTAGATTATGTGGTGCGCACACCACACAGAAACTCCCAAACCACATGTCTATGGCAAAGGTTGCTGGTCAGTGCCTAAATAGTTGTCCAAAGACTGCTCGTGTTAGTCTCTCAAGGCACTTACCTCACAGGCGTGGCAGAAAAGTTGAAGGAGAGGATGTCTGCCTCAGCCAAGATGAAGAAGGAGGCTAAACAACAACTAGTCTTAGTGGATGTAGAGGTCTTTAGAGGAAGAGTATAGACCCTTATAGACAGTGGAGCCACTCGCAGCTATATAAGTGGAAAAGCGCTGCAGAAGCTGAAGTTAAATCTGAAGGTCCAAAAGTTAGAAGACCCCGTAGTAGGTATCCTCGTAGACAACCGCACTATGCGAGTTGAGGATTACTTTGAGGGAGTCCAGGCGTACTTTCCCCTAGAGAAGGTGGAGAAAGTTCTCCATTCCCTGACTCTCCTCGTAGAGGATAGCCTTCCTTTCGACATGGTCCTAAGAATGGACTGGGGAGAGGCAGCAGGGGCCACACTCCACTTGAGAGAGCACGAGTGTAGGCTCCCTAGTCCATTAGGGGAAGTAAAGAATGCGCGTCTGCTCCATGTGTCAGGAGTAGATAACTCCCTGGCACATTGCTGTCTCAATGCTCCCGTGTTTGCCCGCTTGGTAAAGAAGGAACAATTAGAAGAGCAAGTTTTGTAGCCTATGTCAGGCCTGTCACTGAGCCTAAAGAAGAGAAACCCATAGATCCTATTATTGCCAAGCTGTTGGAGGCGTTCACCGACTTAGCTAAGCCGCCTACAGAGTAGTGTCGCGGCCGATCCAGCATCGCATAGAGATAGAGCCTGACAATAGGCCTCCTAAGGGAGCTATATACAAAATGTCCCCAAGGAAGTTAGAGGAGTTGCGCAAGCAGTTGGATGAGCTCCTCGAGAAGGGTTGGATTAGGCCCAATTCATCTCCATTTGGAGCACCTATTCTTTTTGTCCCCCAAAAGGAGGGAGCTTAGAATGTGCATAGACTATAGAGGTCTCAACACCATCACAGTAAAGAACGCAAAACCACTGCCCCGTATAGATGATCTCTTAGATCGGGTGCAGGGCTGCAAATATTTCTCAAAGATAGATTTGAAGTCCGGCTATCATCAGATAAAGGTTCATCCTGATGATCAGTATAAGACAGCATTCCAGACTAGATATGGGCACTACGAGTTTATAGTGATGCCTTTTGGACTAACCAATGCGCCAACTACATTCCAGCGTTGTACGAATGATCTGTTTAGGCCGTGGTTAGATAGATTCGTAGTAGTGTATCTAGATGATATTCTAGTGTTTAGTGAGACCCTCCAGGAGCATGAGGGCCATCTGAGGCAAGTCTTGGAGAAGTTGAGAGAAGCTAACTTCAAGATCAACGCGAAGAAGTGTGAGTGGGCCAAGACACAAGTCTTGTACTTCGGCCACGTCTTAGATGGAGACGACATAAAACCTGAGGAGAGTAAGATAGCAGCGATCAAAGATTGGCCTACCCCCCGCACATTGACAGAATTGCGGACGTTCCTAGGCCTAGCCAACTACTATAGAAAGTTCGTGAGGAACTTTTTTACTCTCGATGCACCCGTTCGCAATCTGGGAGTGGGATAGAGATTGTACATCGGCCCTGAAGAAGTTAAAGCGGGCCTCAATAGAGTATCCAGTCCTCAAGGTAGCTGATCCATCTTTACCTTTCGTTGTCACCACTGACGCAAGTCAGTATGGGATAGGTGTTGTGTTACAGCAAGATGATGGCAATGGGTATAGACCCGTAAAGTTCATGTCTGCTAGGATGCCTTCAAAGAAGGTAGCGATATCTACCTATGAGAGGGAACTCTACGCTCTCAGGCAAGCATTAGGTCACTGGAAGCACTACTTGCTTGGGAGGCACTTCAAAGTCTATTCAGACCACGAGACACAAAGGTGGTTGAAGACACAGGCCAAGATGACACCTAAGCTTACTAGGTGGGCCGCGAAGATAGATCAATATGACTTTGAGCTTAAGCCAGTAAAAGGGAAATATAATGTAGTCGCGGATGCTCTAAGTAGAAGAGCTGATTACTTTGGAGCGATCGTTCACTATCTGAATATAAGGAGAGACTTGCAACAGAAAGTTAAAGAGGCATATGCGCAGAACCCTATTTATAGTCATCTCCTCAAGAGAGTTAAGGAGTCTCCAGAGACTGAGTCAGACTACCGCACTACAGATGGGTTACTATTTGAGAAGACTAACGTAGCTGACCGCTTGTGCGTTCCCGACAGCGAAGAGATCCGTAGTTTGATCTCAGGGGAATGTCACGATACAAAGGGGCATTGTGGTTGGCAAAAGACATAAGCCAAACTCGTTCGCTCGTATACATGGCCAGGTATGAAAACCGACTGCATAGAGTATGTACGCAATTGCAAAGTCTGCCAACGGAATAAGACCACTACACGGGCCCCTCTTGGTCTTCTCAGACCCTTGCCTATTCCCACAGGACCCGGAGATTCGGTGTCCATTGACTTTATGGATGTTGGGGTCAAGAGTAGGCATGGCAAGAGCCAAGTCATGGTTGTAGTTGATAGATTCAGTGAATATGCAGTCTTTGTTCCTTTACCCGTAGAGGCACGAACAAATTTAGTTATAGACAAGTTCTTTGATCATTAGGTCAGTGAACATGGTCTACCACTGTCAATAGTTAGTGACAGAGATACTAGGTTCACTAGTCAGAACTGGCAGGAGTTGATGAGAGTCTATGGCTCTAGGTTACTGATGGCATCTGGCCGTCATCCTGAGACTAATGGTCAGACTGAACAGATGAACAAAATCCTGCAGCAAGTTCTCAGAATGTATACTAGACCCGATCAGCTTAACTGGGACGAGATGATTCCCAAGGTAGCCAGCGCATACAATAACAGCGTGCACTTAGCGACGTGTCGCACTCCCAACGAGTTGCATAAGTCCTTTAGACGGCGTAGACCGTTTGAGGGACTGAACCGGGATCGGATTCAAAGGCTACTGCCCGGTACAAGGGAGTTCACACTACACTATGAAAAGGAGATTGCTACCGTCACAGAGAACCTCAGGAAGGCCCAACATCGAATGATAGAGCAAACTAATAAGCATCATTGCCCATCACAGTTTCAAGTAGGCGACTTATTCTGGGTCACGTCCAAAGAGTTTGTTCCTGAGGAGAACATCTCGCAGAAGTTACTGCCTGCATACCAAGGACCGTGGCCAGTCTTAGAAGTCAAGGGCGGAGAGGATGGACCGTCCTACACAGTCGAGATTCCAGTGCACCTCCACACCTATCCGGTGTTTCATGCGTCAAAGTTGTTGCCTCACACCACAAGTCGCCAGTTCCCATCACGAAGGCCCATGATCCCTCGAGACATGGATGGAAGGTACGGCATTGATGGCATCGTAGCTGAAGATGTCTTCAGAACAGGAGGTAGAGGTCGTCCACAGAAACAGTATAGAGTCAGGTTCGCTTTTCAGGAACCAGAGGACGACCGCTGGTTTACACGAACAGAACTTTTAGAGACAGCTCCCGATGTAGTCCGAGCCTACGAGAGAGATAAGAAAGGAAAAGGTCCTGCCTTGGACCAAAGTATTCTTGGAGGACCTCAAATTTAGGCCAGCGGGAGTGAAACGGTATTCACCTTTTTGCAGACACAGATGCGGATCCCAGGGTTCAATCCACAGAGCTTGCCTTACTTTACCTTACCTGTGTACTGTATCAAGTCGACCCTGCGAGTCTTGAACCTGTGACCTGTGCGTTAATAGTTGAAGTTGTTTGTCGTAGGTCTGAGTAGTTGTAGGGTCTTGAACCTTAGACCTGTCGAAGTAGGGGTCACACCTGCATATGGGTCGTAGATGTTGTAGTTCTGAAAGGTCAAGGTCGTAGCTGCTACAGTACTGAAAGGTCAAGGTCGTAGCTGCTACAATAAGTCCGCAAACTTCCGGAAGGTCCGGAAGTGGCCTTTCCAGTTTCTTCTCATGATTTACATAGTAGACCAGAGGCAAGTGGGCAAGTGGTGAGTCCAACTTCGCTTAGTCAGCGGTACCCAGTCCCAGTCTTACTTTGTACAGTCAGCAAATACCACGAGGGACTGTGTGCACCATGGGCCCGGTGGAAAAGGGTAGACCAACGACTTAAAAAAGTATAAATCAAGAGGCAGCGTCCAACCATTCATTCATTTGCTGCGGAAGCCATGCGGAAGCGCTGCCCCGGCGTCTTGTGCGAGGTGGTCTGCAGGTTGCCTGAAGTCGAAGTGGGCTGAAGAAAGGCAAATTGTCCATAGGCAGTAGTAGCCGGCGTCCATAGCTGCCATAACTACTATTAAGAGTTAGTGTGCGTGTATGAGTTTGTGATACAGTGAATGCGTGTGGGGTATTCAGGATGATCCAAAGTTGATTATGTGCGAACAGTGGTGTTGGACACAGTGACGAGAGTTGGGATGTATAAGCGCTGATGCGCCATAGCCGGTTGAAGTGAGTTTGCTTCTGAACTGTGTTCTCGACTTCCATATCTCTGAGCTTTGAGTGGGCGCTTGGCGCTAGTGTGAGTTGCCATTTGTTTGCATGTATGCGAAGCGAAGCAGAAAGCGAGTATGATAGCATTTTACTTCAGCCAATATTAGTCTGCTAGGCAATAGTGGCTTTATCGGTGAGTTTTTGATTTTAGTTTAGTAGGCGCTTTTCAAGTTGCGCAAGCAAGGCTTAAGGCAAAGCGAATCCTAAAGATTGCCTCAGTTCGGATTGTTCTCTGCAACTCGAGAACATGAAGTTGGAATCGCTAGTAATCGCGGATCAGAATGTCGCGGTGAATACATACTCAGACCTTGTACACACCGCTCGTCACACCATGGGAGTTTCTTTTGCCCGAAATCGTCTCCATGATAAAACACCAATGACTTATGAGTATATCACTGTATATGTAATATAGATACCTTTGTTCATATGTAGTGTCGTATTATTATAGTGAACCCGGGCAAGAGTCGTGGCAAGAGCCGTGGCCTTCGGCCTACATAGAGGGGCGTATGAAACAAACTCAATTTGTAGTAGAAGATCAAGTCCGGTCTGCCTTGAAAAAGGTAGCAAGTAGCTAAAAGCAAAACCAAATTTAGCGAATAACATGAACAAGCGAAACTCCTCGACAAAGGGGTGTTTTTCTTCAGCATCAAAGACAAATCTGGCTATATGCCGGAAGCTCCAACCGAGTGATGCAAGCAAAATAATGATAATGAATGTGTCGGTGCAGACAATCAGCAGGGAAGTCGTGTGTTGAGACGCGCTGCGTCCAACTACTACACGCCAGACATCCCTGCTTGGGATGATGATGTAGTCTGAACTTCATGGCGACACAAAGGAGGAAGGCCTTGGTTGAAATGATGTTCAAAGTTTATTTGTGGGAGCTATGACATCCTTTTTTGTGGCAACTACAGGAATTTTGCAAAATGATTTAAAAAGGGTTATTGCTTATTCTACTTGCAGCCAATTACGTTACATGGTATTCGCTTGTGGACTCTCTGTATTGTGACCTAATCTGCTTAAGAATCAAAATTTTATCGAAAGGCTCGAAGAGCAGTCTGGTAGTGCATTTGTTTTGGGTAATAAAATACTGACAATGGAGCTGTGCTAAAAATTGTGATGGGTGTTTTGAAGAATCCGCAGCCTGTGAGACCCATCTACCAATGGAGTATGAGCTATGTTGGGCTGTCACCCGGCCAGGCACGCCCCGGCCAGTTGGGCAGAGGGGGGGGTCGCCCGGCAAAACCAGACGGGTCAAAAAAGAGGCAAGGATCTCAAAAAAAAAAAAAAGACTTCAGGCCAGGACTGATGGGTCATCCATGGGGGGTTGGGGGGTATAAACAGTGACTAAAGGGCTTAAAAGGGTACATTTGGACTCATGTCTTCTCATTTATTTTTATCTTGACATTAGCAAGGAATTTCGAGGTGGCCCTGTATTGCAATTTTACACAACATTCTTTTTTCAGGTTTTTTTGAATTCTGTTTTCTTTCTATTTTTAAAAATACTATGCGCTGGGATCGCTCGGGACCCTGCCCAGGCCCTGCACAGTTCGGGCCACCTGGGAGGGTACCCCAACGACCTTCCCCAGCCGGGCCGCCAGGGGGCTAACACAGGTATGAAGGCTATACTCAGACTCTATGCACTGAGTCTCAGTGCTGACCTGGTGTTTTGTGTTCGCTCTGGACGTGTTCAAATGACTCTCCTTGTGAGCTTCCCGAATGCTTCCGACTGTGAACGCGGAGGAAAGTCAGGATAGTCTGGTTAAAGAACCAGTCTGTTGATGAAATCTTGCACAATCAGCGAGCTTATGTGACTTGCTAGGTGCTAACCTACCACTGCGCACGAACGACAGCATAGACGTTTAAGAAACAGTCTGTCGATGACATCTTGCACAATCAGCAAGCTTATGTGGCTCGCGAGGTGCTAACCTACCACTGCAGAGGGCTTCCTTACCCCAGGGTGGGAGGGCACGTGTGATTCAGGTTGAGTGAGATGTAGGGAGTTGACCAGTTACTGGTGAATGCAAATAACATTCGGAAGGTTTCTCGAACGAACCGAACACTGCAGCTCGAGAATGAGGTGTTCAGGAAAGCCTCCATATGTGCTGGCAAAAGGAATGCTAGGCCTGCAAAAACGTTTCTGGCGCGAACCAAATCGCAATGGTTGCCCTTCTTGCTGCGACTCAAGGAGGCCCAATCATTCAGTGTGGGAAGAACATTCTCGCTGTAATTCATGTTCGACAAACAAGGTCTGCCAAACTGGTGGTTTGCTTCATAAATTGATAGATAAATCGAGTCCCACTCTCTTCCATATCTTCTTCTTCTTCTTCTTCTTCTTCTTCTTCTTCCTTTTTTTTTTCCCGGCGGTGTGTGTGTGTGTATTGAACTGTATTCACTCTCTTGCATATCTATTTCTTTCCCTATTTCGAAATTCAAACCCCTGGTAGTGTACATACAGTAGAGAGATGAAGCAGCGAAGTGATCATAAGCAAGTTCAGCAAAAGCTTAAAAAGTTTTTAAGCACATTTGAAGTTCAATTATTTGGTTTCATCCATACACTGGCATATAAGGCTTATCGGGCCAGATTCAAACAGATGGGTTTGTCCTGCAGGACATCCGTTGAAATTGGAACAATACAGAGAAGGTTAGCATGGCCCCTCTTCAAAGATGACACACAAAAATCGGAAAATGGTCCAAATTACAGAAAAAAAGAAAAAAAAAGTTAAAAAAACTGATGAGTGTCCATCACCATGTCAAGCAGGCTGCAGGTGTGAAATAATCAGAACCGAAACTTCTCACCTCCTGAAACATAAGATCTGAAAAGGAGAACACGGTGAAGAACATGACAGAGATGATAACTTTCGGCTGTAGAAGGAAATTTCCATAACCTTTATCCTCCTCAGTTGTAGACGCCTCGAGATCATGCAGGTTTTCTTGATAATTCTTGCGATTGTCGATTGAAATTTTCTCTCGTGATGCACCTCCATCTCCCCCCCCTCCACTTTTTTGTCCTTCACTTGCATCTTCTTCATCAACTGCAAAGTGCTCTTCCGGTCTATTTACACCATCGGCATTAACCCTTTTCGCTCCACTCCCATTCACAGTGCCTTCAGCAAGTTTTCCAACCTTTTCCATTGGCATGACAAAGGAACTGTTGACTGACCTCCACAGATCCGAAACACGATCCTGACTGTCTGTGGTGTTCCCATTGGAGGTGTGACAACCAAGTGTTTCTCTGCCAACATGGCCATTCACAGCGTTGAGCCGATCAGACCCATCTGACTTCGACCTCCCCGAATGATCTGCAGTTAGTAGCGGACGACGCAACTCATCATTGCCACCACCATCATTTCCAAAGAGCTTTGTCTCTTGAAAGCATAGCCTCGAGTGTTCGTCTCCTCGTCCTCCATGGGCAGGTTCATCGCCCCGAATGTGTGCAATGCCTTCGGTGTGTTTTATACCTGCAGCAGCCTCAGGGAGTCTCACAGGTTCTGAAGCCTGCTTTTCTTCATCATCCTTTACGACACGGATCGGTTTTCTTCTCTGAATTGTTTCCTGTTGACAAAATCAAAATTGATGACGAAGAAATGATTAGGCCTGTGGCGTTCAAATGGATGGGCCCATGGTCAACTCAAAATTCGTGTCTTCTTTTGAGCCATCCTTTTTTCAGGTGGTTGGTTGGATTGACGATCCAATGGCTACAAATACTTTTCTTCCCTGGCTTGCAGTGGCAGGAGTTGGCCAGAGTGGTCAGCAGCTAGTGGTAGAGTAAACCAGCACTGGCACCAGGGTTGTCGAGCCCCGGCCCCGGGGCCCCGGCGGGGTTCCGGGGTTCCGGGGTTGGGCACCCCCAACCCCGGCTCCAGACCCCCCCGCAAAAAAAAAAAATTCAAAAAAWAAAAAAAAAAWTCAAAAAATAAAAATAAAAATAGTGGGGGGTGCGCAGCGAAAGCGCGCACCACATGGGCTAAACCCCAAAAATGGGGTTTTATGCCCCACCCCGGACCCCCCCCGGGGCCACACCCACCACTCGTGGGACCGGGGTAGCTGCTGGTGCGGGGCCGGGGGCGGGGTTGAGTGTTGGCGGGGGCGGGGGTGCGGGGTGCGGGGTGC